GTGGCGACACGCCAGTACAAACTACTTACTACATTGGCTAATTAGTATAGCGATCACCCTAGTACTTACTAGATTTGTATACTTTATAGGCCGTGATTAGTTTAATCCGTACTAACGCGAAAGGTGAGCTTACTCAGTGTTCCCGCACTGCGAACACTGCGGTGTATCAGTCTGATAGTAGGGAATTTAGTGCAAGAACCCCTCCACTTTGGTATAGAAGGCTCATTTTTGCAACAGTGGTTCTTTGGGTGCTCCTGAGTGGATTTCCGTCGGTAGACATCGGGAGCCCCCCCTGTGGTAACAGGGGGAGGGGGGGCAAGTTTCCTTCCGCCGCGCTTCACTTTAAGGCCCATATCTTCAAAACTATGGGTATTAGGGCAAGTGTGGTATCATTTTCGGATAATTAAAAGATGGCGAATTCATTTCTGGAACAAACTTTTTGCCTTTTCATACAAAAAAATTGAAATATTGAGTAAAATTCACAAAAATCAAAAAGTATTTTTTTAAATAAACGTCGTTTACTTTTAAACCACTGGAGATAATCTAATAAAAAAAATATAACCTGAAAGCTACATTTATCAGGATTATAAAAATATAACATTGTATGGTACTTTTTTCGCAAAAAGTAGGTGAAAAAAATTTTTTCTTCAGGACACAGCGGGCGAATTTTATTGCGCATCGGAAAAAAATATTTATTTTATCCATGAATTCATACTATTTGGTTCATAAGCAAGCAAGAATTATTATTTTAGAATTTATTTAGAGTTGCTGGCACATCAATCTACCATGAATTGTATTTTTTCGTCAATTGATTTTGAACTCTATGTGTGAGACATAAGGTTGAAAATAATTTAAATACATTTTAATATTGAAAATATCATAAGAAGAAAGCACTAAATAAAGAACTTTAATTTGTCTAAACGTCTTAATGATTATTATTATTTTAATTAACACTTTTATTTCTACATACTATTGTACCAGTGATTTAACGGAAAGGTAAGTGTGAGGAAAATGAGGTTTCACAATCATAGTACGGGAGATATTTTTAGCACAAAGGTTACGGCTGTGACCTTTTTAGTTGTTTTTTTCAGACAGCACCAGCTTCTGCACTACTTCTTGCACTTACATCTCACCATTTCCAGGCAAGCCTCGGCAGCTACGGGCAAACCGGTCCATGTAGGCTCCATCTTGCTATCGACTCTGGTCCACCCCCAACCAGTCGGGTAAAGGGAAGACTCGAGTCGGTTGCTTGCACCTGATCCTATACGCGAATCCCTTGATATACTGCCAGTAACCAAGGCTGATACAAAGCTGCTGCTGCTGTCTGGGTTATCTTATGTAGGGCCTAAGCTAAGCTAGGTCTAAGCGTAGTCCACAGCGACCCATTAGGATCTTTATGCTCCATTTTTTATTCCCTATCATCCAAAAAAATCCTATCCATTAGGTGAATTAAGCGTCTGAGTGAAAGCCTTCTAAGTCTTCTGATGCCGGATATGCTGACCCAAGCAGACCCATCCTTACAGTATTGATTCATGGACCCCACATGTATTCCACATGCTCGAGAGCTGTCTTCTGTTGTTAGGCCCATTTTGTGGGACATGTGGTTCGTTCCATAATGCCCAGTTTGCGTACCAGTAATTGCTTGGGCTTAGGTACCTTTTATTTCCGCTTAATGAGTTTTCTCCATGACCCTGTGTTTCCCTTTAGGAATGATTTGGAGAGGCTTATCTTATATCGTTGGAGCTTTCCCATTCAGCACTGTGCTTCTTGGATATGGCCATATTATGGCCATGAGGTATGCCGTTAGATAAAGGTAAGTATCAGTTCTGACCCAATAGGTATCGCCTCTGACCCTAGTTTCGCTAGACTGTCGGCTCTCCCATTGCATTTGATCCGTGTATGTCCAGGTATCCCACATCAGGGACACTTTCATGCCTTCCGAGTTTGTTCATCTTTAAGATTGCATCTAGAATAATTCTAGACTCAACCTTCACTGAGGCGATGGCTTTTTGTTTGAGTGCTGCCTGGCTGTGGATCAGGATGTAAATATTGCGTTTTTTACACCCCTGTTCTTTAGTGCACACATATTATAGCGTAGAATTCAGCTTGAAACACTGTAGCAAACCTCCTTAAGCGTTCACTATGTTCGAAGTGTTTACAGTAGACGCCCGTTCCCGTTCCCAAGGCCATCTTTACAGTGGCGGCGTAAGTCCTAAGGCACCCCCTGGTAACCCCCACGATTTTGGGGTTACCTACCGATTCCAAGATTGAAAGACAATGACATAGACCGCAGACTTGCTATGCAGATGCGCCAGTGAGTACTTATCTGTGCGACATGTGTCACCCTCTGATGCTTGGCACCCGCCCTACGCCGCTACTGCATCTTTGAGCTATCAGTAAACCAGATTAGGCTGTTCTGTTGGGATTTTGGTCCTCTTTTCTAGTCGTCCCTTGTTCAAGATCTATCCACTTACTTATTAGATCAATCCAAGGGGTTCGCGTATAGGATTAGTTGCAAGCAACCGACTCAGTCTTCCCTTTACCCGACTGGTTGGGGGTGGACCAGAGCCGATAGCAAGATGGAGCCTACATGGACCGGTTTGCCCGTAGCTGCCGAGGCTTGCCTGGAAATGGTGAGATGTAAGTGCAAGAAGTAGTGCAGAAGCTGGTGCTGTCTGAAAAAAACAACTAAAAAGGTCACAGCCGTAACCTTTGTGCTAAAAATATCTCCCGTACTATGATTGTGAAACCTCATTTTCCTCACACTTACCTTTCCGTTAAATCACTGGTACAATAGTATGTACAAATAAAAGTGTTAATTAAAATAATAATAATCATTAAGACGTTTAGACAAATTAAAGTTCTTTATTTAGTGCTTTCTTCTTATGATATTTTCAATATTAAAATGTATTTAAATTATTTTCAACCTTATGTCTCACACATAGAGTTCAAAATCAATTGACGAAAAAATACAATTCATGGTAGATTGATGTGCCAGCAACTCTAAATAAATTCTAAAATAATAATTCTTGCTTGCTTATGAACCAAATAGTATGAATTCATGGATAAAATAAATATTTTTTTCCGATGCGCAATAAAATTCGCCCGCTGTGTCCTGAAGAAAAATTTTTTTTCACCTACTTTTTGCGAAAAAAGTACCATACAATGTTATATTTTTATAATCCTGATAAATGTAGCTTTCAGGTCATATTTTTTTTATTAGATTATCTCCAGTGGTTTAAAAGTAAACGACGTTTATTTAAAAAAATACTTTTTGATTTTTGTGAATTTTACTCAATATTTCAATTTTTTTGTATGAAAAGGCAAAAAGTTTGTTCCAGAAATGAATTCGCCATCTTTTAATTATCCGAAAATGATACCACACTTGCCCTAATACCCATAGTTTTGAAGATATGGGCCTTAAAGTGAAGCGCGGCGGAAGGAAACTTGCCCCCCCTCCCCCTGCTACCACAGGGGGGGCTCCCGATGTCTACCGACGGAAATCCACTCAGGAGCACCCAAAGAACCACAGTTGCAAAAATGAGCCTTCTATACCAAAGTGGAGGGGTCTCCATACAAATCATTGCACTAAATTCCCTACTATGAAGAATCGTGGGAGAGCATTCAATGGCATTTTCGCAATTCCAACTGTTATGGAACTTACTAAATCATGTCATTTATCGCATCCATAAAACTAAGCGTTGTTTTTGTGCTGCAACATTTTGAGACTTGGAAAATTTTAATGATAGGGCCTACATAATATTCGCATCGTATGCGAGCAGTCCATACTATTCTAACCGCCTCTGTGGTCTTATAAGACCACCTGTCTCAAAGCCAGAGGTTCCAGGTTCGATTCACAGTGAGGACATGTTCTGTTCCGTTGGGCTTATTCTAAGTCCGTCTGGCTAGCCACAACTAAGCCTGGGTTGCACCATCATACTTTAACTTTGACAAACGTCAAAAATCTGTCAAACTCCATACAAAATGCACCAGTTATCGTCATAGTTACCGTTAATGTTAGGTGGTGCAACTCACCCTATGTATCTTATCTAAAAATAAAGTCTCTCGCCATTACAACAACGTCATGAAGCGTTGTGGAAGTAAGATAGCTAGTTTCTGTGTAGTTGAGAATTCCGGGTGAAGCTTGCTTCCATCTTCGGCCTGATCATCGTATTCCATCAGGTGAGATGCAGGATCTTACTCGTTGTGTAAAAAAGTCTGAAGTCCATTTAGTGAGACTAGCTAGGCACTCATTGACGACGGCACGCCAAGGTATAATCACTATAGGATCTTTTGCAATTGTAATAAAAGCTAATTTGCAACAAAAAACGGGTAGTCAGACATGCTGTTCGTAAATAGGTAACCAACTATTAATCTATTTTTGCAAGCACGTGCGGTTTCGAAAAAACGCCACAAATGTCATTTATCATCTGAGAACAAGAGAACTTTACATTCAAGAGTTCAAAAGGCTAATGGGCTGAAGGGACCTTGTTACATTTTGAAATCCCCAGTTTACAATAGGCGATGAACTATTAAGAATACTGTTGCAAAATTGACTGTTGCGGTCATATAGTAAAGGCCGCTAACAATAACTTTGGTCAATCGTATGAATTTAGAGCTAAGCAATTTATTTAGCAAGCAACAGTTGATAAATGAAGAAACTCACAGTGCGCACTAAATAACGAGAAAATGTATTCTAGTGTTTAAAATTGTCCCGAGTTCGAATTCCATACAATTCAATAAATATTTGTGTATGAGTTTACCTCAACTTTAGTTGCCCGACCAATAAAGCGTTCCTGAGTTTGTTGGCGCGTGTAAAACGTTTTAGGAAAATTACGATTAATCCCTGAAACTGTGTGTACCCAAGTAATTTGATTTTAATTTGTTGGGAATTGTAAAATTAAACGCTGAAATATTATCACAATAAAAAATTTATTATCTATATAACATAACATCGGACCATAACCGTAGAATGAAACGACTGTATATTACATTGTGTATATAAGTATGTATATAGCTATACATGGCGCTGTTAGGTACCGGGCCTCCAAACGTTTACATACAACTGTCACGCACATAAGCATCTAATTGAAAAAATACCTAACTAAATAATTTAAAACGAAACATAATAATTCACCCTTTTTATATGAATAACGCTTTGACACAATCTCATTTTGTACATATTTTATATTATTCATAATAACTAGTGGAAAATGGAAGAGGTTAAAATCATTAAAATGTAAATAATGCTATTATATAGATTATTTATAGCAAATTTATTATGACATAGAACGCACAAATTCTATTATATAGTATTCATGTATCACTTACCACTAGAGTTATACAAAAATATTTTCCCATGGGAATGTAGACAACACAATGACATATTTATATACGAATCAACATTTAGACAAAGATTTCATCATGCATTATGAATGAAAATGATAGTAGAATTAATTAAATGATAGTAGTTTAATAGAGCTTAAAGTAATGTTTATGTAAATATGAGTATACACGGCGTAAAATGTTTACACTTTGTATATGTTTACACTGTGTAAATAAGCATAATTATAATTGTAATTAAATGTATTGCAAAACTGTGGTGCAAAATAGAGTTTACATTTCGCGTTAAGTTTACATATTGCGTATGGATATGGCATATAAAAAGGGCGTGACGACGTCAAGACGCCGGGTACCGGCCTAACTACAGCGTGTTTACATAAAGTCATCGTAGTCGTCGTCGAAATTACCGTAGTTGTCGTATTGGTTGAGGTGAGCCTGAAAACAGATAAGATATTTTATAGATTTACTTCTCAACTGAAGTCCGGTCGCAGAGCAGATAGAATTTCGTACAATGACCCCAAGCTACTTTGTTCTACGCACAGTGAGTGTGCGAGCGCGACAGAAATATTATTACGCGCGAGCGATAAGGATGAGTATCTGCTCAGCGACCGGACTTTATCAAGTTCTCGGAAGACTGTGCGTCATCAGACCATTTTGAGCAGTTGAAACCGTTCACTGATATTTCAGTTTTTAAGCCTAACCTCAAACTATACAGACTTTTAGCCTCCCGATAGTTGGGTCGAGCTGTTAATCAGTAAGAACATATTGTATGGAAGTGGGCACACTACCAGGCCTGTTCATCTTCGCGAGTTTACATCGAAAACAAAACAAGCACGATGGCACCCTATGGTGATGGATTACTAGGCCTCACATACGAGCGAGCATTGACTTACGCACGCGTATTCTTGTGTATGATGGAAAAAAATAAAGAAAATGGTGTACTCAATACTCAGTAGAATACTAGAAGTCAGCCCTATGGCTTCGGCGCAGTACCGATCACTGACGTTTGTCAACAAAATGGTGCTTGACTCTTGAGACAAGCTAAATTACACCATATTGTTAATGACATTGAGCATAATTTTTTTTAAATACCTTCGCGAAGTAAACCTTCTGTACGTAGTGCTTATTATTATTCTGTGACACTACACCGATTTGGTATCGGCCGATTCCTCATACAAATTGAAACTGACCCAACTATCAGTCGACTAAAAGTCTGTGTGGGAGTCTTAAAATACTTCTTAGGCCCGAAAACTAGGTTTAGAGTAGCATTAAAATTAAATACTCGAGAAATAATTTAGAGATTATAGACCAAATCTTTCTTTTTGACTCTGGTATATTCAAGTGGGTTTTGCTCTTGCAGTGGAGACCAAATACTTGATGATAGTGAGAAAAATACCAAAAAACTATGGAGATAGCTAACAGTCTGATAATGTTAGTTTGAGTTCATATTTTTTTATGTATTTAATACCATAAATAGAAGCCAGTAGTAGCATATTATTACGTTTGCTGTAACTAACAGGCTCAATCAATTTTCATATGTAGTGAAACATTTTAGATAGGAAATGCATATTGGCACTTACATCAGAGATCTTCAGGGCTAAAACATCCTTTTTCACAATTATGTACCAAGTTTTTCATAATATTTTTTACTTGGTCATAATTATATCTGGTCTTTTTCTTTACACAAGTATTCTTGTATTCAAGCACACCAATGAAAGAAAGAATTTTTAATAGACAATTTCACACATAATATCGGCGCATTTTGTTCTTATACTGTGTGTAGAATTAGATCTCAAGTATTTATTAATTTCGATAAATAAACGCATTGTTATTATTTATTTACAAAGTGAACTGACTTACTAGCAATAAAGCGTATACTGTGTCTAGAAGTTTTGTCAAGTTACGTAAAATTTTAATACATGAGGACATAGTATTTAATTTAATGAACTGTTTTTCAATACTGTAGAATCTAATTGAGACACTTTAGTAAAGAGCTAAACACTGTGGCATCTTATACAAGGAATAGCTGGTATTTTCCAACAAACATAATTTTTGTAACAGTCAAGGTGCAGTTCGGAATGGACCATACACAAATATTTGACGTTTACTGACATAGCCCAATGGATTAGCAAGCTGAAGTAGCAACGGGCAGGGCACATAGTACGCAGAACTGACGGCCGATGGGCAGCAAGATTCTGGGAGGCTACAACCTCATAAAGGTAGCAGGAAGGCGCTGAATGCAGGCCACCACCAACCGGCCATTGTGAAAATCATTGGGGGAGGCATGTTCAGCAGTAGACGTCCTATTGCTGCAATGATGATGCTGTGTATTGAACTTGGAATACTTACGTTGTCACCTTCAACTTTTAACTTGGCCTTGCCTTTGCCCTTAGTGGGTTTCTTAGACTTCTCATTTTTCTCTGCTTTTTGTTTCTCAATGTACAAGTTGTCAACGGACATCTTTATCCTTTTGATGTCCGCTGAGGCCACTGGAATAGAAACAAAGAAATATTAATTTAAAAATCATATAATTACGATAATGAATGCTTCATAATAGTCGTTTTATGTACATTTAGATATGGAATGAATAGACCTTGTCAAGAGACCATTAACAAGACGCAAATAAACTTGGCAGATCCTTTGTGGATCTGGTATTTAAAATTCACTTCTCCATACACTTGAGTTTAGTTGTGTTGTCTCAAAAAATGTTTGTAAATGCAATGGTATTTTGAAACAAAATATGTTAGATGAATGTGCATAGATATTCTGCAGTAAGCGATTTGATTGCCCTGCTAACCTCAATTTTCCGCAAACATCCATGACTACGAATAATACTCACTTTGTACAATAATATTCCTAAACAGTTCATCGACGAAGGCAGGGAATTCCTCCTTAGCTTTATACAGGTTAATCTTCCTGCTCAACAGGTCAGAAAATTCTGTGAACTCCTCCTTGGTAGTCGGATGGAAGCTGTCCAGTTTGCCTCCACCATCGCCGGAGACTCCTGAAAAGTAAATACAATGTAATCCATTAGCAGATTCCAGCGAAGCTAAAGCGCGGTCTGTGAGCACGTAGAATTTTGTCCAATGACCCCAAGCTACCCATCCTTATCGCTCGCGCGTAATTGTATTGTTGTCGCGACTGTGCGACGGGCGCCCGCAGTGAGTGTGCGAGCGCGACAACAACACAATTACACGCGAGCGATAAGGATGGGTAGCTTGGGGTCATTGGACAAATTTCTACGTGCTCACAGACTAGACTATAAGAAACAACGTATTAAGGAAACCAAGTCACTGTACTCCACCCCATAACCTCAAGGAGTAAGAGTACGCGCACACCGTTGATTTTTATTTGGCCGATAGTTGTGCCCGATTTCAAATTGTATGAAGAATCGGCCAAATCGAATCGGCGTAGTGTGCGCACTCCCATACATGTCCATACTGATCAACAGCCCGACTAAACTATCGGCCGACGAAAAATCAACGGTGTGCGCCTACTCTAAGCTGATAGTTTTTGCATAAGTACCAGGTTAGCTGATAGTGACTAAAAATGTGGGTAAGCATCAGAGAAGAAATGAAACGAATGAGTACTAACCGAATGTCTCCATAGCAAGCCGGAGGTCGGATTCCTCCTGTAATTTCTGCCGACGAAGCTTTTCAGCTAACTTCTCTTCAGGAGTGAGTTCTTCTACTTTCTCAGGCGTAGTAAGCCTCTCGGACTTCTCCCGTTCCATGCGCTGAAATACATTCAATATTGAAAATTAAATACCACAATAATATTGTGTTTCTGCCTGTGGATATTTTTCTGTAGAAAGTTTTTAACATGTCATACAATTATCAACACTATTATGTAGTGTTGGTCATACATATTACTTTAAAATAATATCCTAATAATGAATTTGATAACTAATTACAATAATAACCAAGGGACGTATTATTAGCACTTAAAAAGAATTTTAATTTGATGAATACTCATTAAGTACAATTTCATTAAGTAATTGGCCACATTCATACTTATTCGGTCTAATTTTGGCTGTTTGAAAATAATGTGTTAACTTTTGAAATTAAATTTCCAAAAAGCTCAGGCTTTGAGCCTCAGGCAGATATTGCAAACATTTAATACATTGCTTTTGTTAGGATTGTAACACCTTTCAGAAAAGACAGGATTAACAAGAATTTCAAGATTTTCTAATAAAAAAAAGAGCATGGTTGTAGTAGTCATACTTGTTAGTGACAGAAAAATACCACAATTAATATTTTATGGTATTTATGTGACTGGGAACTTAGTGTCGCGATTGGAGGGTGGAAATGAGACTAAAGGCTAATAATACACGTTTTACTATAGTAGAAAGTAGTTGACCTCCATACCAGGAACTATAAATGACATTTGATTACTTCTCTAAATGATTTTCGTGCCATCAAACAGAGAAAACTAATGGAAAAGTGAAAGAACTCACCTCGCGTTCGGCTATTTTGTCGTGAATTTTCTTTTTGGGCTTCGCGGGAGGCGGAGCAGCCTCCTTTTTCTCTTCATCTTTTTTTTCCTCTTCCTCGTCTTCCCAGCTGTCCTGTAAAAGGACCCAGACGTCAACACGTAGGCAACTAATTTGAGGTTATAAGTACACTTCACGCACAAGAAAAAGTAAATACCACGATACTAATACGTAAAAAACCAACAAACAAATACTTGGCAAAAGCACACGTTACCTTGACGATTTCTTCCTCGTCTTCACCCTCCCATTTGTTGGAAGAGGTCAACGTGGTCGGAAGTTTAGGCTCAAAATTATCTGCGTCTGCAAATACCACAAAATGTCATCACAATGACACCAAATGAAAAATCAATATTTTATACGCAATAACAAACACTTACCCCACGACACATCCATGATTGCAGGCCTTAAATAGCACCAATCTAATTTTGTTACCGTTTCACGCGAAGACAAAACCAGACAGCAGCGAAGTAACTTGCTGCAATAATGCTTTTCTATCACAAGATGTCTCCAGGGTCGACCGAGAATTTACAAACAACACACTCAGGCCAATTTTGTCAAACGATCGACGCTTTTCTGAAATGACCACAACCAAATTGGGAAACGATGGACAAATTGCATAATTTTGGCGATTCCCCAACAAAACTATCAGTATTTGATAAGCAAAAATATGACTCCATTGCAGACGATAATTTTTCTGATTCACTAAAATTTTCAATATGGCCGCCTCTCAACCGCAATAGAAGAAAAAAACAATAATGTTGCCATAGAAAAATATAATAAAAGCAATTGAATAATCGATAAGTGTATCGATTAATTATGTGTAGCATTTCATGCAGAAATTATGGAGACGACATGTGTAAATGTTTGTCAGTATTTATTATATTTATTAATAGCTTTATACAATCTCGAAAAACTTTAAAAAAGGTGAAATTGTATGAAGTAGAAACCATTTTACACACTGACATCTAGCGGAAAAGTGCAAAAGCTTTTTAAACCCTTTTTGGGTGCCTTTGGGGTTCAAAGCTTGCCATGCATGCCTGGTGCAGACCAAGAGCTAATATGGTTAGTTTATCTTCTTAGCTGAGAGAAGTAGTAATAAATAAATTAGTAGGTACCACAAAAGATAAAAGACTGAAGGTGGAAGAGAGCTTCCACTCGGTAATTTTATTCTCAAGCATAGAGTAATTTTTATCTGACTTCCAATACTGTGGCGGATACGCAACAATGCTGTTAACATTATATTTTAGGCGGACTTAGAACAAAATCCCTATCATCAACCAAACCAAGCAATAATTTTGTCACCACTTTTAAATTGAACCCGGGACCTTTGGGTGGTGTTCTTTCCACTCGACTTCAGAGGTGGTCAGATGTGATGAGTGATGACGGAACATAATGTACTTAGTTTACCATGGAATTACAAAAAAGTTATTAAGACAAGTTGTGTTTTGTTTAGGACTAAGTAGGTAGGTAGATGGCGTTGTTTAGTCCTAGAATGAAAACAAGAAATAGATATTTTAAATATTTTTTCCAAAGATAAATAATTCTTATACTAAGTAAAGAATAGTATTTATTAAAAAAGCAGTTTTACTTACTCGTAAGTATGTAAGTAATAACCTGCTGTTGTTAAAATAATAGCTATCGTATTAATTCGACCTAGAAATTCTAGAATCCAGACAAAGATACCTACTAAAATGACACTCAATCAGATACAGATTTAAATAAGATTGTTGTACGATAAAAAGTTCAAAAATAGATTTATAAAAATTTCCATTGCTACGCAAAACGTGTTGATAAAACTGCTGTCGTTCATTTTAAGGGGATTCCCCTCCGTGTAATATTACGTAGGTAGGTAAGTATGACGTGACATTTTTCATTATGAACTTTGAACGTTTGCGTTTGTATTTTTGTTTATCGCTAGCAGAATGTTTCCGATGCGAAATCACGATGATAATGACCGTCAATGTTATTTTAATTTTAATTATCTATCCAGGAAAAGATTGTGGATACTTACTGAGTTTATAAACAAGAGCTTTTGAACATAGAAATAAAAGAACTAAGGGTAACTAAGGTAGGCCTAAAGCCAAGGCCAATTTATTCATGAACTAGCTGAGGCTCAGCTAGTTCATGAATCAGTGGCGTAGCTAGCATAGGTGGCACCCGGGGCGGATTTTATAGGTGTCACCCTAAAAGTCAATCGAAACTGTTAAAATAAAAAGTTATAATCATTTACGTTTTATTAAAATACGAGTACCTATTACAAATATTTGTATATTATGTGAAACAAATTTAGTTTGTTAAAAATTAAAATTTCTTCCTTCTAGCTTTGACACTTAGGCCAGTAGAATTAGATTTTAAATCGGAAATAATTCCTACAAACTTAGATTAATAAAACCTAGATGGATAGTCTTCATACAAACGCTTCGTCAAGAGTGAGGCAAAAATCTTATGTCATTAGTGTCAATTTTGTTGGGGAGTGTAGACAGTGAAGGCGATTTTCTCGAAAGTAGGGAAATTTTTAATACGTTTTTATTATTTTATAACTAACAAAAACAAAACGCATCATGTACTTACTTATTTATTGAATTCAAAGTACCTACCTAATAACAATAAGATAAATTAACTGAAAAGTCTCGATTTCATAAAAAAGGAAGTGTATTTGTACGGCGAACAATTGGGAAATAAATTTTCTTGTTACTGGTATCATTCCCGTATTTAATTTTTGAAAGCCAAATTCAAGCAAAATACGCGTCGAATCGTATTACTTACTTATGAAATGTAACACTGGTCACTTTCTTTAGTTTTTCTGATGTATTTAGACACCCTTTCACAGCACAAACCGTCTTAATTAATTAAAAGTCGTCGGACGTGTTTACCAATTTTTCACTTTGACAGTTCATGTGACGTTTACGAGTAAGCCATTCTGGCTTACTAAAATCTGCCTCACCTTTCGTGCACTGACTATCTATCTAGGTTTTATTAATCTAAGCCTACAAAAGATATTATTGCTTTAATGGCTTCATTGGTTGAAGATTCATTTCATTCTTCATTAAGACTCTCCTAGGTTTTCGACCTCGTCGGAGTTGTGCTTAAGTGGTGGGGGCCCCCGAAAGGGGCGCTTTTTAGGTTTTCCAGTTATACCCCGTAAAGGACTTACTTATAAGACCAAATTCATATGTTTTGGACAATCCGTTCTCGTGCAAATGTTCGGCAAAGTAGAACATATGTGTATAATTAATGACCCTCTCCACGTCCAATAGCTCGTCACCCGTAGGCTCCCAAGCCTTGTAAAGGGTCGCCTTAACCAGCGTATCCCTATCAAGGCTCACGAGTTGGATTCGTTTATCCTTGTTCGTCCCAGCCGTTCCTTAACTGCAGTTGCTGCACCTCTTCCTGGCACTCTCCTGAACGACTCTGTGTTACCTAATGTGGCTGCCCCTCTTCCTTGTACCCTCCTGTACGATTGCATTGCTTAGCCATATGCCTGGTCCAAGGTTCGACGCCACAAAATCAACTTCACACGCGTGAAAATAGTTTAAATATTATTTTCCGTGCTTGCAACATTTTTCTTTACTGCTTCGCCTCTATTAGTCGTAGAGTGATTGTATGTATCCTATAGCCTTTCTCAATTTATGAGCTATTCAACACAAAAATAATTATTTCAATCAAACTAGTAATTCTTGAGATTATCGCGTTCAAACAAACAAACAAAAAACTCTTCAGCGTTTTAATATGAACTGGTTGTTGTTGATTTTTGGCGTCGAACCTTAGACTAGGCATACGGCTAGGCAACGTAGTCGTGCAGGAGGATACAAGGAAGAGGGGCAGCCACAGTAGGTAACACAGAGTCGTTCAGGTAAGTACCAGGAAGAGCAGCAGCAACCGCAGTTAAGGTACGGCTGGGACGAACAAGGATAGGCGCATCCAGCTCGTAAGCCTTAATAGGGTTACACTGGTTGATGCGCTCCTTTTCAAGACTTGGAAGCCTGCGGGTAAGGAGCCATTTGACGTGGAGAGGGTCATTAATTATACACATATTTTCTACTTTGCCGAACATTTGCACGAGAACGGTTTGTTCAAAACATATGAATTTGGTCTTATTTAATGCAGGATTAAATGCCCTTCAACCGTCAGGAAGACCACTTTTCGATAGGGTAAGTCCTTTACGCGGTATAACCGGAAAACTGAAAAAGCGCCCCTTTCGGGGGCCCCCACCACTTAAGCACAACTCCGTCGAAGTCGAAAACCTAGGAGAGTGTTTATGGGCAACTAATGAAGCCATTAAAGCACTAAAATCTTTAGTAGGAATTATTTCCGATTTAATTCATTTTGTGTTTAATTCTACAGGCCTACACTAGCGAACTCCGAAATCACGTCTTCAAATTTATATTTTGTGTTGCTTCATGTTCTATCGTTAAAATACCAAGATTGTTTAATCTGGTTTCAGTCATTGTAGACCGCAAATAATTTTTAATTAATTTTAATTTGCTGAAACTTCTCTCACATGAAGCAACTGATGCACATATGTATTGTTATAAATAACTTTAGTGCGACCGTTAGATTCGGAAGAGATTCTGTAAAATCCCATTCCACAATAAATTTCAAAAAGTCCTTGTTTTTTTTTTAAATATCAATTATTATGCTCGTGGTACGATATTATAGTTACCTACATAATTCTATAAGTGGCGGTTGTAATTTCTGTCACAGATTTACGATTTTTTATAGGAAGAAAGAACTTTAAGGCTAGGATTTACCGCCTAGATGCCGTGCATTCGTTACCTCAGCCCCCGCACACCTCGCACTGACACTCGCGCTGACACTCGCGCTTCGCGATGACGCCACAGTGTAAAAACAAGCCGTAAGTTGGATTAAACCGTAACCTTCAAATAGTGAATAAATAAATAATAAAATTAAATATCCTTCGACATAATATTTTAACACTGCGCCTCTAGTCTCAAACTAAGCAAAGCTTGTACTATAGGATATGAACATATTACTTAAATAACATAACATAAATAAATACATTCATATTATGGTTAGAAAACACCCAGCCCGAAACAAACATTATTATAATGTTCATGCACACAAATGTTTGTCAATCAATAATGTCAAATAAAGATGATAATATTAAGTCAAACAAATACTTTTTACCGACAAAAATAGTAAGCAAATGATCACAAAAATGTAAACTTCATTTTAATATGAAATACTAATGTTCTTTTACGTATTGCTATTATATTTAAGCAAATGACTCTAAATTAATCATTGTAAACCCAGAAATAGTAAACAATCCTCAAAACAACTTGCCTAGAGGTCCTCTTCTGCCCTTTTATAATTTTTAACTCGGATTCAAGCAGTAAACTTCTAAAATAATTATTTATGGTATCAATTAAATAACTGTATCGCCATCTAGTTATATAATTCAGCATCTTTAAAAAATTGTGAAACATCGGAATTGATGACTCGCCTTATATTCTTTCATCATCAAAAAGTACCTAATATTATCATCTAATTGTAAATTACGGCAACTATTTCCTCATAATTATTTGAAAATGTAAGGCAAAAATGTTCAAGTTTTACAAAACTATGAAGAGCAGATATATATATATATACTCGGGTGTCACCCCTAAACGGATGACACCCCGGGCGGGCCGCCCCCGCCGCCCCCCCTTAGCTACGCCACTGAGCTGAGCCTCCGATTTTCAGTAAAATACAAGTTTAGTAAGACCTCCCCTGGAAGTT